AAATGGAAAATGTTGAGATGTGGCGAATGAAATCATTCATGAAATTAAAATGAAGGGATTTACGTCTATTAGTGGTGCGATTTATAAAATTAGTAGCTCAAATCGCGGGAGGAATATATGCATTAGTTTTTCAAATCTTTATTATTTACGATATAATTTCTAAATTGAACCACTTTCACTTCTTTAGGTAACAATGTATCTGTCTTGACAACTAAATAGGTAATTAGACAAAATAATGATTATTATTAATTTCAAAACGGGAGTTTAAAGAATTAGAAGAAGGTAGTCCGGGCCCAGTTAAACAATCAAGTTTATTCCAGTGGAAGCAATCAGGAGGATTGTTTTTCGTTTTGGCTTAGCTGACATGCTCTCTCTAGAACTAGAACCCATGAAACTATGGTAAAAAGCATGCTTTTATTTACACGGTTGTGAAACGAGACGATTAACAGAGACATCGAAGAAAGATATGTCGCTGAAATGGATGCAATAAAGTATGAGAATAGAAGGTACAGTCATGGATGGCATACAATGAAGGCATCTCAAATGGTACGGACATGTCCAATGAATGAAAGACAGTAGACTCCCGAAACAAGTACATCTATGAACAACTACAAGAATCCAGAAGAAAGGACTACCGTAGAAAACACGGATGGAACGAATAAAAAACTCAATGCGCTCGAAAGTACTTAAAGAACAATGGAACAACCGAATTCAATGAAAAATGGACGTCGGAAGACGTTTTATACGGATTATATCATATTACGAGTATAGGTACATTGTTATTATATCATATTATATCTATTTATATAATACATTATATACACGATATTGAAGGAGGTTACAACATAGACAATCAACAAAATCTACATTGTCAACTACATAGTGAATACCCAACAATAATAGAAGTGTCAAATGCCGTCTTAAAACATAAAGTAAATAAAGCCACAGGAATCGATTAAATCTGCTGGGAAATGTATGAAAAGGTGATGATCAACTTTTTGCAGTAATCTATAAACTAATAGTACTTATATGGCAGAATGAATTGGTACCAGAAGAGTGGCTAAATGAAATAATATGCGTTGCATAAAGGGCTATCAGCTGGATTGTAAGAACTATAGAGGCATTACTCTGTTAGCATCTGCGTATAAAATCTTCGGCAATGTATTGTTTGAAAGACAAACATTTTACAAAGGATATTGTTGATTTACTGCTGCATAATCAACTATACATCAAATTCAAACACATGGGCAGATTCTAGAAAAGTCACTAGAATATAACATAGATACACGTTATGACAGCCTATGACAGTGTTAAGCAATGATAGACTTTGGTTGGGATCCCACCCATTGAATTGAAGATTGAATGCAGAGAAGAAAATATTAAAAGTAGAAAAAAATTTAAATGAGTAGGTATAACAAAAAATAATGAAAGGCTTACCAACATTTAAATTATAAAAAAAATGTTGGTTAATTTACATAAAATTAAAAATAGTAAAAGGCTGTTGTACATCTTGAATAACATAAAACAACAATAACAGTTCTTCACAAAACAACATTTAACAAAAATTTAAAAGATTAGTTAATTTTGAAGTAATGATCTACATGAAAACACTTTGATTATTAAAATTGTTTAAATCATAAATACATGGCTGACACAGACTAATATATTATGATTATAGCGTATATACCTAGGTGTGTATAAAAGTTGAGAGAATCTATGACAACAAAAAATAAGTAAGCTTTTTTCTTCCAAAAAGCAAACTAGTTTGAAAATTAGTTTGAAATATTAGTTCAAAATATTTTCTGTTCAAAACTTTTGTTTCTGCAAACTTAAACAGTGTGGAAGATTAAAAAAATCTTTTGAACTAAAACACCAAGATACAGAACCCAAAAGATTCTGTATCTTAGTACTTCTAAACTAGAACAAATACTGGTGCTACTGTAAATTATACGGAGAATATAAAGAACACGTATGTTATAACAATTGGACAAAAGCTCCGACTGCAATGAAAAGTCAAATAATTCTAGACGGTTTTCAATGGCACATGCACCCCATGACTTACAAATTGTTAATAGCCGATGGAGATAGTACTGTTCATCAAAAAATGTTAGAAAATAGACCATATTATGGAAATAATTTTGTTGAGAAAACTGAATGTCGTAACCATCTCATAAGAAACTATTGTACGATTAAAAAAATTATCTTCTTCTTCTGATGCACTCCATTACTAGAAGTTAGCGAGCACCGCATCAAAATCTTCTCTATTCTGCGCCAATCCGTACCAATTTTCTTACGAAAACTTTTAAAAATTAACATATTAAGATTAAGAACTGCTATTACAAGAGCAACTGACTATCATGGACAGTCAGATAAACCAAGATATAATATATCTAATAGCCATCTTCATGTACTTGTAAACTATTCGAATTGCACAGATTATTTTTGTCACAGAAAATCATCAGAAACAGATTATACAATACCAACGAAAGAATGCAGCCTGTTGAAAGATATTAGCTCATATGCAGCAAAAGTAAAATTTCATGCAAATAGTCTTATAAATAATATGAGTACTAATTATGCCGAACAGTACATAATTATCTCTCGGGGTCTTATGAAATGAGATACTATGCTGATACTTTCTCGTACAACTCTAAAGGTCATTATCACCAAACCCTAATAAAAGTATCACAGGAAGAAGTCCTGATACTTTCTCGTACAACTCTAAAGGTCATTATCACCAAACCCTAATAAAAGTATCACAGGAAGAAGTCCTGATGTAGTATATGTATACAAAAAAAATATTTCGAAATGCACCAAAAACACATTGCAAAGAAAATTATATTAAAAAAAAAACAATTATAAAAGTACAAAAAACGTTAGAATGTATGAAAAGGCCTGATGGTTCAATATTTATATTTAAAATTATTTCCAATATTTTTTTTGCCTTCGGTTCGTTCGCAATTCCATATTCCGTAAATCTATTTCCACAAAACGTTGGATTCAATATTGCTTCCACTGTTTTATTTCTGTCTGTTTTGTCTCGCAATTTACATATTTTTCCGAAATTGCTGGACGTTAATCGTTTTTGACGTTCAACAAACCATTCAGCACTGTTATTTTGACTCATTGTATTATTAAAAATCTCTGTTCTTTCTGATACAGTTTTTTTTAATTTTTTTAAAAATTCCAGTTTTTTTACTTCAAAGTCCTCATCTGACAACTGAACTAACTCCTCTGAATTTAGGCCATAGTCTTTATCAGGTTGTTTATTACTTTGTTTTTTAATATATTTTTTTTGTCTTTTTGTTTGTTGGACCCATTTTTTAATTTTTTTTTGAGCAAATAAATTTTGGTAATAACCAGTTGAACCTTTGCTTATATTTTGCAATATATTATTTAAATAATTTCCCCGAGAATTATATGAGACTGCTGCCGCCAAACACCTTAACCGATAGCCACCTCTTCTGGTGTGATTTACACGTTTACCTCCTACAAATTTTGCTATAACAGAATTGAAGGTTTCGGCGTTATTATTAGTGGCGCATTTTATCAAACTTGTTGCATGATATTTGAGCCTATTGCTGAATGATATAATATCGGACAACAAACCACACCCTTGCATTTCAGGAATGTAATTAATTTCCTGGTCAAAGAAGAAGAAAAGAAAATAATAATTCTGATTGAAATAAAAAAAAATGTACTGACCGATTGACCAAAATTCTACTCTGTTTCTACATAATAAATTATAATTATATAAGTAAATATTGAAACAATAGTATTATTATAAAAACAGTATAAGCATTTAGAAGGAAAATGTCACAACTCAACAGAAAATATTTCTATTCATATAAAAATTTAATCAAATTATAGGTACTTACTGCTTATTTATATAAAATTTCCTCAATCGTCGTCGACTTTTTCGTCCGGAGCATAAACGTCTTCGCGAACTACCCATTTTAAAAACAACAAAACACACTGGTTTGTCAAAACTAGTCAGAAGTCGAAATAAGCCCTAATAATGTTATTCAACATTATTTATGACCCTCCAACTTTCTTACCTACTCGTCGGCGAGAGTCTAGAAACTATCAACAAGGACAGCTTGTACTGACCGAGAGAGAGAGTACATTTAGCACAATTTAACATTTTTTAAATACTTTATATGAAATAGCTGCTTTGTCTTACACTTTATGTTAAAAATAAAAACAGATTCGGAAAGTGGGTCAAATTCTGTAGTGCCCTATTTCAAAAAAAAATTTTTTACGTTTATTTTAACTAAAAATATTTGAAAAAAAAATATTGTTTAAACAATTTATTAATTTACAACTAAATAGTGCACTAGAACTTTTTAAGACCTTTCATATAAAAAAAGAATCATCTCAATATCTGCCATAGTTTTTGCGTTATTTGATATAAACTTTTACGTTGGAACTTAGGTATGCCCAGAAACGCAAGGAACGGCCTTAAGGTAGATTCAGACACATCAGTACCGTCACAGTCTCGGCGCCGAACCGGTCTTGTTTGGTCACAGAACTATTAATTATCTGACAGCTGGGGAACTGTTCGTCGCCTGATGAATGTGAATGCCGGCGCCATATTTCTATTAAAGAATATTTTGTATGACGGATTGTTCGGTTCGGCGCCAGGACTGTGACGAGACGTGACTGATGTGTCTGAATCGACCTTTAAGGTCGATTCAGACACATCAGTCACGTCTCGTCACCATCTCGTCACAGTGATTGCGCCGAATCGAACAATCCGTCATACAAAATATTCTTTAATACAAATATGGCGCCGGCATTCACACTCATCAGTTGACGAACAGTTTGCCAGCTGTCAGATAGTTGATAGTTCTGTGACCAAACAGGACCGGTTCGGTACCGTGACTGTGACGTGACTGATGTGTCTGAATCGACCTTTATACGGAAAAAATGGTAAAGCAATAGATATCATCTAGTGAGAAAAGATTTCTTAAAATCACTATGGAGACTAAATAAAATTTGTCAAATACTTGTCAAATTTTTGTGCAAAAGTTTTAGATCTTGAAAATATCAAAATTGATATGTAATTTTAATTCAAAATCAATTAATAATTAGGATTCTCTCAAAATTATTAAAGTGAATTAATCAATTATGGTTCCAAATTGTTCCAACAAAGCTAGTCAAAGAAAATCTCTTTTAAGCAATCTTAAGGATTTGGTGTGTCAAATTGATGGATGTGGTGATACTTGTAAACCGTGTCCTCCATGTGTACCATGTGTCGGTCCTGTAGGACCTGTAATAGAGATATATGACCCTTTACCGAAACCGTGTTTGCCTATTTGTTCTCCATTTGTCTCACCTGGACCTTGCGGACCGTCTTGTGGGCCTTGTGGACCATGTGGGCCTTGTGGTCCATGTGGGCCTTGTGGACCGTGTGGTCCTTGTGGTCCATGTGGACCTTGTGGTAAGTGATGCCATTTTCTTATATAGTCTAATGTATTTTATGGATATGAGAATATTATTGATTAAGAAAGTACCTAGTGATAAGTTTTAAGTACTACACTGTTGCGATATATAATATAATCTTAGAGTATCTTTCCTTAACTCATATATCAAATATATAAAGTTAAACAACAACAAAAACACTAAAAATTAAATAAACATTGGCATTATTTTATTTTGAAGCAAATTTGTATTTTAAATTCGCATAAAAATAGATATTCTAAATGTGATATACTTTTTTGTTAAAACATTGTCAAAAACGAAAAATTTCACTGGATCTGCTGAAATTGTGACATCAGCTTCTATTCTTTATATGAGGTTGACATCACAATTTCGCAGAATGCGCTACAGAGTTCGTTGCCTATTTAGTTAGATTTTTTCATTAGAATAGCATTTAAATAAATGAATAGGTTTACCTACATTGTGAGGATGTGGAGAACATTTTGAACATTTACAGTAATTTTTTTCAAATTATTAATCTCAATTGTCTTGGGGAATAAATGTAATTATTATTTAACTGTAAAGGGATTTGTGTCTCGTTTTAACAAAGTTTTTCATTCAAGTTTTTGACCAAATATATACTGATATACTTATCTGATTTAAAAATAACAAGATTTTTGATTCTGAAAAAATATACAGGGATCCCATTTAAAATTAAAAAAGTTGGTACTTATTTCCGGTGAAACCGAAAGTAAAGTAGTAAAAGTTTACTTTGAGATACTTACTTGGTTCCATATTTTATCACATCTCTGTATACAACATTAATTGTCTGGTTTATCATTAAAATGTACCTTTTTTAGTTCCAGGTTGTGCACCAGGCACATGCCCTCCCAAAACCAATTGTTGTCCAGTAGCATGCCCCGCACCGTGCTGTCCTCCACCATTGATACCTCCAGTGCTCCCTATATGTACTCCCGTACCTACACCCGCAGTCCCACTTTGCAATTTTAATGAAGAGCAGCCTTGTGTGCCATGTAATCCTCCGAAGATGATGGTCTGTTATAGAAGAGGAAAATACCAGAGAGGCTGCGGAAAGCGAGCCAAATCTAGAGAGTTGAGAGGGGGTATCATGTACATGGGATGCGACTGTGAGAGGTCTAATGGTTTGCAGGTAAGAAAAATATCAAATCATAAATGTTTATTTAATACATAAAACAGTGCTTAAGGTGATGGAGGTCAATGATTTCTAAATTCTTGTTTTCTCCGTTTTTGCTTTTTCACTGACTTTCTATACTTTTATGTCTTCTTCCAGATCTCCATTTTTCTTTCTAATTTATGGTTAATATAATCAGAAGTGTTATATTTTGTCTGCCCTAGATCCATCTGTTGCATTTAATAGTGTGTTTATTGATGCCACTACTCTGCTGCACATTGTCATTTTGAAGCTCTGCTTCATTTTCTTTTTCTTTTTTTGTGAAGCATTGCTAATCATGCATTTCTAATATTGTTGTTGTCAATCTGTTGTTATCAACAGGTCCTCGAAGACACTTCGTCTCAGGACCATTTTACCTATGTAGGGTCATACGTCGCCATGTTACCAATTCTAACGGTAACTTAAACATCATAATTTGTAACCACATATAATGTAAATCAAATGTAAATTTATATCATTTAAAGGGTTTGGACCCATATATTTTGGTGGCTTATAGCATGTATACCTTGTTTGCACTGATGATGGATTTATTAATCCGAAAACGTTTTGCAATATCTTTGTGATAGCCCGTTTGGGCATTTTATTATATACCTTTTATAAAGGATTTTAAATAAATTTTTTATTTCTAATATATTATTTATTTATTTAATATTTTATTTTTTAGGATAGCTGCATGCGATGGGAATGCCAAGGCCAACCTTTGTGCGGTGGAAGAGGCCATGCGCATTGCGCTCCAAGTGTGTACTCCACCGGTAAACATTTAACGAAAAAGTATGCGGACCCATGCTTGGACGAGTACCAGTGTTATCCTGCTTATGTCAAATTACCTCCAAGCGGGCCATGTGGTCCATGTGGTCCATGTGGTCCATGTGGTCCACCATGTGGTGCTCCTTGTGGTCCACCATGTGGTGCTCCTTGTGGCCCACCATGTGGTCCTCCATGCGGCCCTGCCTGTGGTCCTCCTTGTGGACCGACTCCATGCAGTCCGTGTTCTCCTTGCGGAGACGCTTGTTGGCCGAACCCAGTCTGTCCGCCTCCTCACGTGCCTTTAGTAGCAAAACCACCGTGTCCACCTGTCATCATACCGTGTCCACCACCATTAGTGCCAGTTGCTAAAATCGTTCCTGTAACTCCCGCCCCAGCTTGTCCTTTGCCGTGCGCTCCACCAGTAGCAGTTTGTCCTCCACCTTGTCCGCCTTGTTTACCACTTCCCCCAGCACCCATTTGTGCTCCTCCTTGCTGTCCACCTTGTTGTATGCCGTGTCCGTGTTAAAAAAATAAGTAGGTGAATTTGCTAATGAGTAATTAATGATATGTTAAACATTCACTATAAGTTTCAAAAAACATTGTTAGTAATGGAAAAAATAATCTCAAGATGTATTAAAAATATCAAAAAGGTATACGTTACATGTAATTTTATAAATGAAGTTATTTCTTTGCCATTATTAATTGTAAGTATGGAATACTCTAACTGTACTATAAAACTTTACTCATTGGCTGGTTCACTATTAAAATATGTAAAAAAAACAAAAACTTGAAAATAAAACATAGTTTTAAACAACTTGATCTTTGTTCTAAAATCTTTCTGAAAATATTTCACGGAGGACTCTACAAAAAACTGGAAGAGGATACAGATGATACCCAGTTCTGATTCAGGAAAGAAATGGGAATGAGGGAAGCGGGAATCAACAGACATAGACATTAAAAAAGGCATTCGACAAAGGTGTGTGTTGTCTCCGTTGTAATTCAACCGTTATAGCAAATCTATTTTTAAGTAAGTATTATTACAGTAAGAGTACAGTATAGCAATAAATGGAAAAAAACTTGAATGCTTAAGATTTGCAGATGACACTGTTATTTTGGCTCACATCATCATCATCATCATCATCATTCAGCCCATACTCGTCCACTGCTGAACATAGGCCTCCCGTAGTTCACCCCACAAATTTCTGTCCTGAGCCGCCTGCATCCAATTTTGATGTGTCCGTTTCAGGTCATCCGTCCATCTTGTTGGTGGTCGTCCTCTATTTCTAAAGGCATCTTGTCTGGGTCTCCACTCAAGAATGCGTTTTGTCCATCTGCCGTCCTTCGTTCTCGCGACGTGCCCTGCCCAGTTCCATTTTAAGGTTGATATTCTTTTGATTGCGTCGGTTACTCCCGATCTACGGCGCAATTCTGTGTTGGGTATTCGGTCTCTCAGGGTTAATCCCAACATGGACCGTTCCATTGCCCTCTGTGTTGTTCGAATTTTGTTTGCGGACGTCTTAGTAAGTGTTAGCGTCTCCGCACCATAGGTTAGAACTGGCAGCACACATTGATCGAAGACTTTTCTCTTTAAGCAGATGGGAAGGGCTGATTGGAAAACATCTCTTAGCTTTCCATAAGCTGCCCATGTCAACCCTATTCTACGTAATAGTTCATTGGTCTGGTTATCTCTACTTAAGCGAATTTCGTGTCCCAGATATTTGTATGCTGATGTTTGTTCTATACTTGTTCCAGCTATGTTGATGTTCTCACTCAGAACAAGGTTTGTCATCACTTGTGTTTTTGAGTTATTGATCTTTAAACCCACTTGTGTAGAGGCATGGTAGAGTCTTTCGCACATTTCGATGGCATGATCTATGCGGTCTGTTATCAGGACTATATCGTCCGCGAACCTGAGGTGACTAAGCTGCTCTCCATTTATGTTTATGCCCTTTTCGTCTAGGTTTGCACGCTTACACATGTATTCCAATAATGTTGTAAACAGTTTTGGCGAAATGGTGTCGCCCTGGCGAACTCCGCGATGAATTTTGAACTTGTGTGTATCTTCATGAAGTCTGACGCATGCCGTGGCATTATCATAGATATTTTTGATGACAGTGGTGTAGCGGTGATCTATTCGGCACTCTTTTAAAGCTTCTAGCATTTTCTGGTGGTTTACTGTGTCGAATGCTTTCTCATAATCCACAAAAATTAGGACGAGGGGTTTATTGTACTCTATACATTTTTCGATGAGGCTTTTAATAACTTGTAGATGGTCGTTTGTGCCGAAGCCTGACCTGAATCCTGCCTGTTCGCATGATTGATAAAAGTCCATTTTGTTCGAAAGTCTGTTTGTTATGACTTTTGTAAAAAGCTTGTATATGTGTGAGATGAGGCTGATTGGTCTATAGTTTACGAGATTTGTTAAATCTCCTTTCTTAAACATTAGAATGATCACTGCATTTTGCCATTGTGATGGTGTTGTTCCTCTTTCAAGGCATTCTGTGAAAAGTATGGAAAGCATTTGTATCAGTTTCTCGCCTCCTAATTTTATGGCTTCGGCAACGACCCCGTCGTCGCCAGGTGACTTGTTATTTTTCATTTGTAGGAGAGCTTTTTTGATTTCATCAACAGTAACATCTGGTATGTCTTCCGAGCCCTGGTTTAGAACCTTTGGTATGTTGTCAGTTGGAACATTTTCTTCTGTTTTGCTGTAGAGTTCGCTGTAAAATTGTCCGACAGTTTGTAGAATTTCCTGTTTATCTGTTATTATTTCGCCCTTTGTGTTTTTCAGTTTGTAAATATTTTTCTTTCCTATTTGCTGTTTCCTTCTGAAGACTTTTAAACTTTTGTTCTCTTCTATGACTTTTGATATCTCTCTGGTGTTGTAGTCTCTTATATCTTTTCTGATGTTCTTAGTGATTTGTTTGTTTAGTTGTCTCATTTTTGTTAGATTGGTTCTGTATTTATCTGTTAGTTGTCTTCTTTCCTCTAATAGAGTTTTCGTGCTTAGACTTAGTTTTTCTTCGTCTTTTTGTTTTTTTGGGCAACATTTTTCTTGTGCTTGTTTCAGAGCTTTGACTATTTTCTGATTTAGTTGTTCGATGTTTATGTTTTCTGTTTCTTCGTTTTGTAATTTTTCTTCGACCGTACGTTCAAACAGTTTTGCATTTTCAGGTGGTACCCATCTTCTAACATTTGGTTTAGGAACAAGCTTCATTCTTTCTTTTTTAACGTTAAGCATTACTTTTGTTCTTATCATTCTGTGGTCGCTGCCAGCAGAGAACTTGTTGAGTACTTCCACGTCTTGTATTATATATTTTTTATCTGTAATTATAAAGTCGATTTCGTTTTTGACGGCGCCATCAGGGCTTATCCAAGTCCATTTGTTTTGGGGTTTCTTTTTAAAGAAAGAGTTCATTTGAAACATGCATTGATGATGTAGAAAGTTTAAAAGCATGTCCCCTCTTGCGTTTCTTGCCCCGTATCCGTACTTTCCTAACGCGATCTCCGCTTGGTCTTGTTTGAATCCGAGTTTTGCGTTGAAGTCGCCCATGAGAACAGTATAGTGTGTTCGTGTTCTTTGTTGTGCCTCTGCTACATCCTCATAGAATTTTTCAACTTCTTCATCTGTGTGTCCAGTTGTCGGGGCGTAGACCTGTATAACTTTTAAACTATAACGAGAGTTTAGTTTTAATATCAATAGGATGACTCTCGTGCTTATGGTCTCGATTTTTGTTATGTTGGGTATGTGTTTTTTATGTACAATGATCCCGATTCCACCGTTGGATGAATGTTCCTCTCCTCTGTAGTGGAACAGGTGTCCTGATTTCAATGTTTGTTGTTCTTCTCCTCTCCTTCTAATTTCACTAAGTCCCATTACATCCCATTTTATTGTTTTTAATTCGTTTTCCAGTTCTATTAGTTTATGATCGGTTGAGAGGGTTCTTATATTATAGGATGCAAGATGCAGTATTCTTGTGCAGTTTAGCCGTCTTGAGTGGTAGCCTGGTCCATCCCGGGTATTCTTAGCACCCTCTGCTCTTAATCTTTTCTGTCCGCTACCTTGGTCAGAGATTTTTGAGCTGCCGGGGACTGAGGGCCGTGTTTGGTTTGTGTTTTGCATGTTTACGGGGGGTTTGGCCTTAAAACGCCACGCTGGCCAGACGTGTTGGCGAGTTGGGGGAGGATATAGGGAAGGAATTTGGGGTTTGGGTAGGATAATATTGGGGTTTGGGCCTGGTTTCCCCTAAGTAGGGAGTAGAGGAAAACCAGGAGCTCACGTGGGCAGGGGCGCTACCTCCCTGAAGTAAGTCTACCCTCTATCGGGATCATAGAGGGGTACCTACCCGCTACCCTAATTTTGGCTCACAACCTTAGATAAATGAGTGTTAATATGTTACGTTTCATCTACTTTGTTGTATGGGATAGAAAACTGGACACTAAAGATAGAACAAATAAATCAATTAAAAATTGTTTTAGACGGGTGATCCAAATACCGTGAATTCACTTATAAAAATAAATAATAACTAATACCCAAGGACTGAGATGATTACAAAAAGAGTACGAAGGTAATAAAATAATTAAAGTAAGCAAAACTGAAATACCTTACTACTTAAGTGAGAAGTATGAAATGCTTAGACTTATCATGCAAGAAACGATCAAATATAAGAGAAACGCTGGCCGAAGGAGGATTTCCTGGCTGAATAACCTTCGACAATGGTAAAATTACAGCTCAGTAGATCTCTTTATGACAGCTGCAAATAAAGTATGGATAGCTATCATGATAACCAACCAACGATAGGAGAGGGAATCATAAGATCCTTATTCCAATATTAATTAAGCGTAGTTTAGTTAAGATTAACCGTAACAAAAAGAAATTAGTTCGAAAATGAATTTTTAATATATATTTTAGTATATAGTACTATATTATATACATACATATATAGTAAAAAATAAACCTGTTCAAATAAATAACCATTTCTAATTTGGAACCACTGTTTTAGTTATATCGAGTTCTCAATGTTTAGTTCTATCTTTTAGGCAATAATTCTGTGGTATATTCTTAATAAAAAAGACAGCAAATAAAATTTAACTCTTAATCACTGTATAATAATGTTGGATAATCATATAACGTTTATTAGATTGCTTCCATCAGTAATTCTGTATAGTGGAACTCTAGGGGTAGTTTACCCCCTGCATGAGGTTGATTAACTCGAACTACAATAATAGAGAGAGTATCCAGATGACGGATGCCAACACTAGCTTCGACTCTTAATTCTTAATTCTTAATGATCTACTCCCGTTATTTCGGGTATTTAAGTCGTTTAAGTTCGTTTGTTTATGCAATTCATTTTTTACGAATATAATATGTACTTACACAATATATAATAAGCTTTTGATTACATTGCAAATTTTACTAGGTCAGCGTCCCGTTAAGCGTTTTCTAGTTACACTGATATTTTCAATGCCATAAACAAACAATCGCATTGAGCAATAAACAATGATTAATATTATTAAAAGGATTTTCAATTTTTTAAACTAAATTGAGTTACTTAGATCTCATTTCTGAATGCTCAATAAAATCCCGTTGCAACTAACATGCAGTATGCCATACAGCACCGAAAATATATTTTGTTATAAAACTTGTTTTATAAAAGATTCCTAGAACACCTTCTGTGTATCTTCAAGTGATGTGTAATGTGTACCTTCTCCCAACTGTTGCAGTTTTAGTATGCGTTTAGTCTTTGAGCTACATTGACGTAAAGTTTTCTTACGGTATTACGTACCGCATGTCAGTGTTGACGTTTCTAACATAGATAAAAGCAGTCTAGGGTATTCTTTGGCTATTAGAACGGCAGCAAGTTCATTAAGTTCTAAATTTATTCATAAAATTGTAAAACCT